GAATGATGACTTAATACTTATATAAGTCTGGTAAGAATAAATAAGCAAATATATATATTTATAAATAAGTGGGAAAATCCCTCCTAAAAGGAATTGGAAAAAAGGGCACTAGTATAGAACATGAGAGAGGAACGAGTATGGAACATGTGTACATCCTCAGAATAAAAAATAGAAAACAAAGAAAAAAAGGGGGAGATTTGCTTGTCTAAAGCCTGTATGGGGAGTGATAGCCAGCTCGGGTTGGTTATTAAAGGCCTATAGCAGGAAGCGAGGGTCAGCCAGCTTTCCTCCGAAAATATCAATTGTTTAGTAAAAGAAAAATAGAAATAAAATATACGAAAAGGAGAAAAGCTGGTACCTGAAGGAACCAGGGAGGACTAGGGACACCCGCGTGGGAAAAAGAGCACCGGCGCAAGGAAATGTGCGGTGAACTATCGAGTTACGAATAGAAGACAGTACTATATATCAGGGTATGCTACTGGTTCACCTCCTCAGGGATTTGGAAGGCGCAGTGAGTCTCCGGAGTAAGTGAAACGCTGCCCGGCGCTAGCTTACTTCGGCGATCCACTGCGACCTGGGGAGTACTATGTCTGTGCCTGCTGAGTCTGCTACCTCCTTTGTGGAGCATCGCCTCCGAGTCCCGATAGGAGAAGTTTCGGAGAGAACCGTGGCAATAGCGAGAACGGGTATCTCGGTGTCGTGCTCGCTAGCACCATTCCGCTGCTTCCCCAGAATTTCGTTGTCTTGCACGGGAGCAATCTCTATCGGGCTGATTGTTGCCCCAGCGAAGATCCCTGTCAGGATTATCCCGGAAGGGGAGGTCGCGTGGAACTCTTGCAAGTTAGTTTGAGAAATGGAGAATGCACTTTCCTTCGAGGAGATGCTCGATGAACACCTGAGCGAAGAAGTTGGACTGAATGAATCGCAGGGAGAAGCTGCTCCTGAGGTGAAGGTCTCGTAGAAACCCCACACTGTAAAGAAATGCACAAAAAAACCACTCCCATCCCACTCACGCACACCCTCTCTTCTACCTGCTATTTCCGAAAGTATCTCTACCCTCTTGCTTCTAATTTCTATTTTTTTCTTTCTATCTTTTTCTGATTGCAATTTTTTTTTCAGGTATTGCCGAAAGTGCTATCCTCGTTGCTCAATGAAATGCGTATTTATTATCGAATATCCTGGTTTGAGAGCTTATTGCAGTAGGAATAACTGTGCTACAATTTTTTCCTCTCACGATCTGACAAAGATGTGGCATGTCAATGAAAGACTAGTTTTAGGGTGTTGCCACTTTCCCTAGCCTGTTATCCCTTGCTGCGGTCGTATTACCGGTCCTAAATGTGACCGTGTGGTAATACATCAAGAACCAGGAAATATATTGTATGCTGTATTCTTTTTTTGTTTTGAAGCTAGTTAATTCTTCTTTCCTTGGATTATGCTTACCAGTATGTGTTGTCGCGTGCTCTCGTGGATATGTGTATTGGTATGTCCTTGAGATATCCTGTGGACTGCATGGTCATGTGTATGGGGGATTGTTGTTGTAATGGGGAGGGGAATGATTAGATTTTATTTGCAGATCAGCAGCGTGCGTGAGTCCGGATTGACAACCTGGGCGCTAGGAGTTGTTGGGATAACTTCACCAAGGCTTTGAGTTGAGCTCTAGGAGTGAGGGATTTGTGTATATGGAAGAGGAGGTATCGTGAATGGGGTAGATAGGACGTGGGGGTAATGAGGCGATCAGTTTTGAGTTATAGGGAGAGAGGATTGGTTATTCCACGGTCCGAACAGAAGAGGGTTCATGGCAAGGGGGATACGAATAAAATGGGAGGGATATCATCGACTCGCTGATTGGTGGATCTGATGGTTTCCATCATGCGCTGTTGGCATGATGATGTGTACAGATCGAGACGCTGTAGATCTGCATTGCTGTGTATTCGGAGTTAAGCGTCGCGCTTAACAGGCTGTAAAAACGAGGAAGCAAGGAGCTGAGTGTGTACATGTGTTTAGTCGATGTAGATTGTTGCTCTGTGGTATGAATAAGTAGTAGGGCAGTAGGTTACGTGATTGACTTTCACCTGGCTACGTGGATGAAATAAAGGCGGTGAAGACGGGGGGGATGAAGTCAGGGGTGGTGAAGTGGCTGAAGCAGAGACAGGGGGGGTAGACCCGAAGAGGGGACTCTGCAGATGGTAATGCAAGCATGGCCACGGATGCCATGGAGGAACGCACCGAGACCAAGGGCAACACAACAGATGTGGTGGTCACGGATGCCATGGAGGAACACACCGAGACCAAGGGCGACACAGCAGGTGCGGGTCGAGTTGCTCCCGCAGAATCAATCGTAGAAGCAACCAAGGCCGATGAGGAAGAGGCTGCGAACCGAAAAGGGGCAGCCAGGGCCACAAACGGCATGGAAGGGGTTACTAAGACTGATGAGGACGCAGGTGCCGCAGACGCAGGTAATGAAGAAGAGGCTGTGATAGGTGTGGCAGGCGCCGATAAGGAAGAAGGGGCTGTGACAGGCGTAATCCGAGGACAGTGTGTAGATACTCGARAAAGCGGGTGATGAATAGACCATCGAAGCATGCTGCGGAACCAGCTGGAGAGGCGGGTCACATGCGCAGGGTACCTGTGTTGACGTTTACGAATATAGGAAGTCCATCCTTTCGCAAGCGTTGTTGGAGAGTGCCCGCGAAAAAGCATGCGGCGTGTGAGCATCCCTGCTGCAGTTTTGAAATCATACCAGTTGTTGCAGACATACTCAAACCTAGTAAGTTGGCCTGTAAACACTCCTGCCGGCTGGTGTGCAGGGACGTTAGATGTAGCACTAGGATAACGAATAACAGGGAAATTCCATTCAGCTGCTTTGTCAAAGACACTCGTACGCAGGGAGCCGTCAGGGCGGACTTGGAGGCGTGCACCCAAGAATGTGCAAGAGCCATCAGGCGCTGTGGTCTCCTTCCATTCGAGGCCATAGTGCTCTGACGGTGGTGGCAGATGTCCCCATGAGAGAACATCATCGATCAAGCGGTATGTGAACGCATACCGTTGAGCTGTGCGAAGATCACGCCGCTGGAGGTCATCAACAAATCGAGCCTCCTCCCAATACAACGTCAAATTAGCTATCTCCGGACCAGAATTAGTCCCCATCGGGATGCCAATCAACTGATGTCGCAAGGTGTCGTCCGCTGCATAAAGATAAGTGTTTGTGACAATGAAATGGAGATGTTCAAGAATTTGGGAAACGGTCCAGGTGTTTGGTCCGGTATCAACCGTCCACTCCCCTTGACGGGGCCCTTTAACAATCATGTCAAGGGTAGGAGGATGTGTGCGCCCCTGTGTGTGCTGTTGTAAGGCATATGTATAGGCTTCCTCAACCGCTTTTAAAACATTATGACAAATACGGTCATGAGGAAGATTGGTATACATAGTTGTGAAATCAACAGTGCGAGGAGCATGGTCACGAAGAAAAGAGGAGTTACGTTTGAGATCAAGCATCACCTCCTCAGCGCTTTGCACGATCCAGCACCGTCTCACACCGCTTTGCTGATACAACACATTATCCTTCTCACGAAGAGTTTCCAGCACCGTCTCACACCGCTTTGCACGATCCAGCACCGTCTCACACCGAGGATGGATTGGATGGGGACGGGACCTTTCCATGGCGATCGGAAGGAGGACAGAGGTGGCGACGAAGAAGGGTCATGAAAGTGGTGGATGTGCCTGTCCTACGCATCGTGCCATCCTTCTTTGGCCATGGACTGGAAAGATTCAGAGTCTTCGGCAACACGCTCGTCGACGTAGATCGTGAGTGCGGGGGGGGGGGGGGGGGGGGGGGGGGGGGGGGGGGGGGGTAGGTATGAGGTGGTTATCGTGGGGCGCTTTCGCGTTAGTGACGGTTAGTCCGCCCGGTTCGGTCTCTTAGGTAGACGGGCGGTGTGGTGGTCTGGCCGTTCGCCTGTGTGATTGCGTGGATGGAGCGTCGTTTTGTTTTTATTTCTGTAGTTGTGTACTGTGACACGTCGCCCATGGCGGCGCATTCATGTCACAGCCGACCTCGGAGGTGGTCGGAAACTTTGTCGATTCCTTATGTGTTTGCGTAACATATGCAGTTGTGAATGAAGACCATGAAATCAATGGTACCTTTTGACAAATCCCTTAACAACATCAACAGATTCCAAAAGTGCGATTGTGTGTGCGTGGTTCACAATGTTTTCTCACAAATAATGCAAACGACCTGCAAGATTTTGTGATTTTTGTTGTTGTTGTTGTTTTGTTTTCGTTTAATCGCAATTGTCCTCTCTCTCAGCAGAAAGGGTTTCGTCGCAGGCTTGATTGACTGTCTCATCGACTGTTCGGTTGATCGACTGCTCTATTGATGGGTTAATCGGTTTGTCGATGCACTGACTGTTCAATTGATTGATTGGTCGATCGATCGATTGTTTGATTGATTGATTGATTGATTGATTGACTGATTGATTGATTGACTGATTGATTGATTGATTGGTCGATTGATTCAAGATTGATTGATTGATTGATTGATTGGTGGGTTGATCGATTGATAGGTTGATTGAATTACTGTGATTGATTGATTGTTGGATTGGTTGAGTGATTGTTTGATTGTTCAATTCATTGATTAACACTAAGAGATTGATTGATTGATTGATTGATTGATTGATTGAATGCTCAAATGCTTGAATGATTGATGGATTAATCGAGTGGGTGGTTAATCGATTGATCTGGTGATCAAATGTTTGAATGATCGATTGATTGGTTGATTGATTGATTGATTGATCGATTGATTGATTGATTGTTCGGTCGAAGGAATGCAGTTATGGTGTGCTAATCAAAACATATATCGATCACAAGGTTTGTTGCGCTGCAGAATTGCGGCCGACGGAGAAACGAAATGTGCATTTCAAACAAGAATGACCAAAATCGTGAGCAATTCAAGCATTCGATGTGTGTATGCTCGGAAAATAAACCAACGCATGTAGATGACATTGAAAAAAAAAATTGCCAGGACACAGCTTCGAACCGTAACCTGTCCACACGTAAAAAAATCGTTGAAGGTGCTACAAAAGGACATGCAAGGAGACGTACATGTATAAATCACATAACAAAGGCGATACAACCGTCCACATAAAGACCGTGATGGAACACCGCTCCCTCACTCTTCCAATGTTCGAGAACAAAAGAAAACTACTGCCAAGAAAAAAGGATTAAAAACAAAAGTATATTAAAAAAAAAAACAGAAGAGAAATGCAGGGAGCCGGCCAGCAATCACACTGCACGACACTGGCACCGGAGCACTACAACACCCGTCGAGTCCCGAACATCACCACATTCGCCCTCCGTAAGAGATCGACGCACAAGCTACCGCCGTGGGGAAACTTCGCGCGTTCACTCGTGCTTCATACATTCCACCAGCGCTTCGCGCAGGGCCAGCGCACGAGGACGATTGAAGTTCTCCGCAATGGGGTGGGGATGTTGATCCAAGCCCAAGTCCACTCGCCGGCGCACGCCATTCATTTTCACCTCCCACAACAAGTTCTCGTTGAAGTCTATGCCGGCATTGAGGAGGATGTTGTGCAGGCACACTACTTGGAACTGTTGCGGGAGAGTGTCCGTATTCGTTTTGTGTGAACGGAGGAAGAGCCTCCGCATCCCCTTCAATCTTCTGAAAGCTCTCTCCACTGCTCCTCTGGCGACCTTCTGCTTGTTGTCGAACGTCTCCTCGTCGATGCATTGATCGATCCCTCCGTAAGGCACGACGATCCACTCTATAGGAGGATAGTCGTTATCCCCGAGAATGTACCCGTGTGTCTTCACCCTGAACGACAGCACCACGACAGGTCCACGGAAAAGATCCCCCTCTTCCGCACGCGCCCAATGACTGGAAAGCTGAAGCACCCGAATGTCGTGGCAGCTCTCGGGATACCCGACGAAAATGTCTGTGACACGCAATTCCAAGTCCACCACCACCTGCTCAACAACCAAAAAACGATGCTTCCGGTCAATGTAGTTCTCGGAAGGTGCGTTCGCCGGTTTGTCGACATATATGTGCATGAAGTCTATGCAGCCATAGCAGTTGGGGAAACACTTGGCCTCGAAGAGTCGCAGAATGGCCACCCGCCGCAACCCGGAAGGCCAAAAGATCTTCTCCCAGTACACCCTGAGAAGTGCCCGAGTCACGTCCTCCACCGCAATCAAGCCTAATGCGTGTCCTATGCTGAATGACGATGTGCTGCTCTCGTACGTCTCCCCACTCGCCCAACGATAAAGCGCCTATGCGATGATGTGATCCGGCATCAAAGGCACCTTGTAGATTGTCACGCTCTGCTGCGGATGAGGGGACAATGCCTCCACGATCTCCCGGAACACATTCGTATCCGGCCCGTCCACCGCGTTGTCCATCTTTTGGAGATCCTCCCATGTCCCTCTCGTCCTTCTCCTCATCCATCACCTTGGAGTCGCTCGCGGGATCACATCGGACGCCATGGCGCAACAAAATTGCACAATGGATTCTGATAACGACACATAGGCGGGCGCCTCCATCACTTGTTGCATGAGCTGATGCTGCCTGCAAATGGACAACCTCATCTTCAGGCGAGCTGTCGTTCTGTGTATGCGATATCGCATGGCGATTGCAGGCACAACTGCAACCATCGCATTTCTCTCGAAAGTCGTCAACGTATTCGCACGGCCCCGCAGCTCTCTCTCCATCTTAACGACGCGCAATGCGGAACTGCCGACCACTGTTTCGGTCGCTCCGATGTCTCCACGTGGACGGGAACAACAACAGCATTACCCACGTCTCACGGAGGCCTGACGTGCGTGGGCAGCTATGGCGGCCCACACGATTGTCGCGGACGGGCCAAATACGAATGTGTAACTCCTGACCGTTGTCGCACTCCGAGACTGTCACTGTCCGCGCTGCATCGGCCCGCCTTTCAATGTCGGCGTATTAAGCGATGGCCGCCAGCACTCGTCCGCAGACGTTTCGCTCCGGTGTGCGCTGCACTGGTCTGGACACCCCGGGTGTGGATGCGTTTCAGCGAAGGGTTGGAAATTCGAAATTCGAACAGGGATGTTCGCGCCTTTTTTTTTTCACAGCCCGGAAGGCCTCCCTGCGCCGCCACCGGACCACGCCCGAGGACGCACGGACATCCCACCACACCGACGGACATCCAGCCCTGCGGTGGCGTATGTGCGTATGAAATTCGCCGCCGGAGACCTCCAAGGGTTTTCCTTGGGACCCATTCAATTAGGACGCGGTGTAACGACGACGCCGAAAACCGAAAAAGTTTCCAAGGACCTCATCCTAATTCCTGAGGATTTTCCAAGGAGGGTCTAATGAGGCCCTTGTTGTATTTCCAAATTCCTTTTTTTTTCCTCTTTTTTTTTTTTTCGAAGGCTAATTCGTTTAAGCCCAACCAACTCAAGTACTTGTCAAATCTGGACAGGAGGGCCTTTAAGGTCTTCTTTTATTTATCATTTTCATTACATAGTATTTTACGCCCCCCTAGCAACCAGCCCGAGTTCAGGCCTCCAACCAGGGAATATGAGGGGGCTGCACCTAACCTGCAGGTTGGCGATACCGGTCAGAGGTCAGCCGGTAGCATCAGGACCAAGCTTCTTTGATGGGCCAGTCGCTTTGCCTCCCCTCCGGTCCCCTCACCTGATGAATATGAGCAGTCGCTGCTCAAATGCTGCTCCGGGGGACCAATGGGCTCTCTTGAGGTGGCAGGCACCAAGCTTGCCCAGGAAGGTACATGAGGCCAATTATGGGGGGTTGAACCCAAAAGACCTCCTGAATGCCACTTGCATGCCTTACCAACTTAGACAGGGCCGTGGATACATTTAGGGTTACCTTCAATTAGCACCAATGCCCATTTGGAAATGAGGAAATCATTAGAACAGAGGAGAGAGGTGTATGTTGGTAAAAGACACAGGAATGGTTGGGAACTTGGGAATGAGAATGGAAATTAAACCAGCAGTGCTTCCAAGGCTGGAAACACTCGGCGCTGCCTAAAAACAACAAAGTAGTGTGGCCCTCCGTTTGGCGGACACTGCCAGCCATTTTGCTCTGGCGTCCGAGCCTGAAAATTGCAGCGGCATGCAAGCCGCGACTTTGCAAAAATGATTGGGAAACATACTGGTGTTTAAACCACAACTCCCCCCGACGTCGAAATTAGGGGGGACCCGTGGCACAGGTCCATAGGGCTACCAGTAGCACGGTTTGGAGAGCAGACAGAGCAGCGAAAAATGTAAATGGAAATTGCATCTAATTGCTGCCACGGCTGATTTTGCGGTTCAAACGATATATATATATATATATCTATTTGACGATATATATATATATATTATGCCTCCTGATGAGTCGGTGAAACTCCGACGAAACAGTTTGTCACAGCCCCTCGTTTGTTGTCCTCTTCTCTCTCTCTGCCTACGG